CCGAAGAAGTTCGTGGCCTACAGGGAGGTGAAACAGGCGGTGCATGGGTGGTTGCATGCACAGCCAATTTTTTTTCTCCGAGGTATCCATGCCCTCTCGACTCGATGGTGGAAATGAATCGAAAAGACGGGATACTACTTTGAAAAAACTCTGTCTGTAAGGCAGAAGCTGTAAGAAATATTTCTGATGTTCTTTTGACTCCCTCCCTACTCGTATTAGAACTCGATTGATTGATGTTTCCGGGCTCGTCGACAGCTAAATTAATTAGTCCTGTAAGTGTAGTGCATTCTTATAGCGAAAGGAGATCTGATGGCGAAATCCGGTGCCGACCAACACGTCGGCTCGCGAAGTTTTCACTAACCAAGCCTCTCTAACCAGCGAAGCAGCGCGACAAACTCTAAGTTCCCGATTGGTCTTCCGAAGTGTGTGGTAATGTAGTGCTTGTAAGTGTAAATGTGAACAAAGGGAGGGGACAAGGACGTGGAAGGAAAAATCGCGCGCGGTCCGCAGCCAGTGTGTTAGAGTAGTGCTCCAGTATTCGCGTGGTGCCGATTGGAGAAACCACGGAAAACTACGGATCGGAGCAGCCGGCTGTTACAAGTATCCTCCAGACAACGGCGAAATTCGTCTAAGCTATGGAGCTAATGTCGAAAATTGTGCCACCACCGGGACTCGAACCCGAGGACTTTTCGGCCAGGAGCACTAATTGACATTAATTGACGCCTTAAGCCACCAAAGTCAGTTTTAAATTTAATAATGACTTTATGGATCTAAATTTAAATGCATTTGAAGTTATATGTGTGAGTATCATTGTCTAGCGTTTTTTCGTTATAATGTGCTCCACCTGCTTTGCGACAATATCAAGTTTATTCAAGTTCGGAAGAGTTCCGATGCCTCGGAAAGGATTCTCAGCAATGATTAGCCGATGCGTTACAAGATAACAATATAAAAATTCAGATTCTCCGAATTTACTGGCTGTGAGCCTTACAGTTCGTTGTCGAAAAGCAGAGAGTTTTGAACTCGGGCTTGTAATTCTGAAATGTTATTTTTTACAATTTTGTAACTCTACAAATTTTTGCCTCGTATATATCAAGAGACGGTTAAAATATGGTGCTAGTCTCATTTTCGGCGAACTCTTCGTGTTTTCAAAAATTGCAAAAAGTTAATATTTCAAAACTGCGAAATTGAAGATACCGATCTTTGCCTTAAACAAAGTATTATCTAAAAAATAAGCTATTTTAAAATGTACATGTAACTTTTTTAAATAAAACAGTTTTGAGACAATTACATTATTAAGCGTCGGTCCGAGTTCGAAACCCACGTTTCCATAGCGAAGCTGTAAGGCTCATAGCGAGGTATCTCGGAGGACCTGGGTTCAAAACTCGGCGCGGGAAAAACTATGTTGGGTGAAGATACTTGTTTGTGAAGTAGTATATCATGAAGGCGCAGTTACCAATAATGTGAGAAAGTATGTGCCATTGAACTCCCCTAGTTTCTGGTCCGTGTGATGAATATTCCATCTTGTTGTGTGTTATAATTTTAGAGATCTGTATTTGCTGAAATCATGTTCCCACCCTTGAATTATTTAGTTTTGACAAAAAACATTGGTTTGTAAATGAAGTTTGCATGAAAATAAAGTTCTTCTTATCTTCAAGTATTTAGGCATTATGCCTGTTACGCCGCTTAATTTTGGTCCCTCCAGCGCATTCTTGGACGTCCTACATTCCTTTTTCCTCTCGACTGATAATTTGCCACTTGTTTAGGAATTATGTCGTTGTTCATTCGCAACATGTGATCTTGCCATGAGAAGCCATCTTGTCTTTGGTGGTGGAGCTTGAGTACACCCATGACCCCGAGAGCTATGCCGGCGGTAGCGTAGCTACTGGAAGGGCCTCCCTTGCCGGACAGGTCGAGGGATAGAGGTGAGACGAAAAAGTACTCCAGAAGAGGACCTCAACGCCAAGAAGAGGAATTCGAGAAGAAATTGCTAGAAGAACCATGCATGAACATCGTTAGCGTGGAAAAGATGGTGAAGACGTCCTGGGTAGATGCAACTCAAAAGCCGTGGAAGGCAATGCATCTAGGGCGAACAACCCGAAAAACTGCCCTGCAAGTTTGGAGGCAGTGAGATGGCATACCCATCACCAAACTAACCTGCATATGGGCTAGAAACCCTATCAGGCGAAAAAATCAATTTCTCACAGACCGCAACAATTACAACCGGACGCTCCATATACGATAAAGCAACGGAAAGGACATAATTACGGCTTAGCGGAACATTTACAAATAAAGTTCTCATTAGCCCATTCCTTTGGACCCAGAGAAACTCAAGAGCCCTGCTATCCTAATCATATTGAAAGCAGGATAATGTAATAAGTCCTAGTTATAGTTCGAATGAAATTTAAATAATTTTGAAATCTCATGTTTAATTCATCAGTGTTCTTCGTAATTATATTTTCTCAGTTTTTCCATATATCTGTATGCTTCCTTTAAATGAACAAAATGGGCTTCTGGCACTGGCATGTATTTCCATTTTGACGAATACCTTAGACACTACGTTTCAAAGAATCTATAAACAATCACCAACACTGACATATTTTGTTCCAAAGTTTGAAAGTTATGCATGATTGCCGTTGCGGTATACAAGCACGCTCTTTTTCGTGAAATAAATCAAGATTCTCATCTTCTCTCTTGAAAACATTGTTCCTGCTGCAAGCATTTATTTCTCTTTCAACTGTGCAGGCTGCCCTCCTCGGTTAGGTAGTTTTCGGTCATTTCACCGAGGCGAATGTCAGAGCAGTACCTCAGCAAACGGGCCACGTAACTTCCGCGATGTTTTCTTCCTCTTCCTTGTCATATCCTCATCCCTTACTTACATTTAAGTGCACTTCAACAACAACACATTTCACGTGACCAGTCAGGAGCTTCGAGGTTTTCACGGGTGGAGAGGTGCTACCGCCGGTGAGCCATCTGGTTGAGGGGGAAAACCCGCCAGATCGGCGCCGGATCTTGTCATTCAATGGGGAAAGATCACTGCCACCTCCGCGATAAAAACGTGCATTACACTTACGACCTTAGCTGACGCACCGGAAATCACTATTTAGTCATTCATTCATTCTTTCAATCGTGATCATATGTCCTGTCCAATTACTTTGTGAGGTCAAGATCTTGCACCAAATCATTAATATTTATAGTGATTTAACCACTACAGGCGCCTGTCTTCTTTGGTGAAAACAGTAACATCCATTTCAGTTCAAATAATCTGAAAAAGGTGAAGATGGGTTTGGAATAGGCTTGTCGGGATTATATGGTAATAGTCTTAAGACTGTCGGAATATGAGGGTTACCTATTTCTTGCATACTTAACGTATGTCAGTACATTTTCATCATACAAAAATAACAATCGCTTACATATTTTTTCTATCCTCTCTAAACAATGGGAATACTAAAATATAGAGATTTATGCTTTTTTTGGTTCCATTTTTTTCAAAACTGCAATAATTCAGTGAAAACCTTTATGTGACGCTCAGGATTTATCTTGATCCCCTAATTAATGACGAAATAAGCGAAGTACACTTTCCTGACTAGTGAAGTGATCGGTGTTTTAGTGTAAATAATGCACTTTCTGTGACCAAAAATTTCCCAAACACGTCCAACGATTTTAGATGAACTTTTCATTCTTTGAAAATATTTTCCTACCAATTAGATGTATTACAATTGCTACCTTTACGTCAAATACTTCTTGCCAAATGTGACAGAAGAACTACTGTAATTGATTAAAGATTGGATTATAAAACGATGAGTCTATTGTCTATAAAGATTACTGATAGCCTGATAAAGCGATTAGTGCATTATTCTACACACTGTGCGCGTTCATTTGAAATTTAATGAACGGAAAATTTAGAATAAACTGTGCAGAATAGGAAAAACGTTTAATTTAAATTTCTAATAAGGATGTAAAACTGATTCACTATCACCCTGCTTTCAATAAAAGCTGCAAATCTTCGCACTCCTGCTTTATGTCACACATTGCCAAACGATATCACTATGGTCATGACATGTGCCTGACGTCAGTCATAACTGAGCCTGGCCTATCATTATGCACAGTAATTTGAAATACAAAATACGTAAATTTTGATAAAGAAACTTAATTAGAGACAACCACACGCACATAATAAAACGCAGAGAACAAATAACGAATAGAGAAAAAATCATCTTGTAAATAGGACCATCCAGGCTACAAGCCTGTCACAATTTACATGCAGAGGTTCTAGTTACTATTTTCAGGAACAAGCAAGATATGCGTCTGAGGTTCTCAATGACGTAAGTGTAGAGTATGGGCATATTGAGGGAAAAGAAAAAGACCAATAAAAGTGTTGGCCATTGCCAATTGCATATCATTTTCGGGAAAGGAAGCAAAGTAAATGGATGTAAAATAAAGTGAAGGGAAGGAAATGGAATAGAGAAGGGATGAATAATAGGCATTTTAACCTATGTTTTGTATTATTTTCAAACTTCAAGTTTGTATCTATCGTATTATTAATTTATAATTACGCATGTGTATGTAACAATAGTCTCGAATTGCCAATTGTACTTATTAATTTAATACGTTTGTTTAATGTTCATATCGGGAATAGCGTTAGTTGTTGATGCCTTTTCTGGTATTCAACATGTTTCTATTTTATTTCTTATAATGGGTTCTAATTGTTTGTTTTTATATTTTTACATGTGAATTTTATGTTAAATGTCTACCTGTCGTACGCTTATTGCAGCAAAAACTATTCATTTATTATGCTTCTTCCGAATTTCTCCAAGGCGCGTTAGGCGTTAGCTCAATCTCCTTCATAATGCGAACTGCTGCTGAGGTCTTTTCCCGAACCCCTCTTGCGCTTTGTGGGTTTCTCTGTGACGAGGGTCGGAGGACATGGGAACCACCTCCAGTCACTGTTACATCACCTTTCTAGACCAACCAAGGAAGAATGAGAGACGCTTTTCATTTACTTTTCGTCTTTGTCTAAAATTTGAAGTAAACAACATGCAATACATTCCAAATTCATTACTTTCCTCCTAGACCTTTTGACTCAGTTTGGCATGAAGTGCTGTAACAGTAAATATCTACAATATAATAACAAAGTTTAGAATGTGTAATAATTCATATTCAATACTATTGGTTTTAAGGTAGGTGTCATTTAACAGAAAAAATATTTTGCATTCTTTCGCAAACCAAAAGAATAATTCGAAAGGAAGAATCTCTCTGCTCAGTTTGGAATTTATCATCTATAGATTGGGGCGTTTTGATAATAAATGATGAAGATAATGTTTATTTACTCTGTGATCCAGATGCCTTCCAAGATGTCATTAAGTTCGATTACGACTTTACTTGGAATCGAATATTTCAAGGCCGTTGTGGTTACATGGAAATAGGTTAAAAGCATTGTTAAGAGTAAAATATTTAAAAACAGTTTTTGAAGAACCCTAGAAACGACAACAGAAAAAAGGCTATTCACATGATTCTCTTTTTAATTTTAATTAAAAAGAGAAAAATAAAATATTTAAAAAAAAACATTTCGTTGCAGCTAGTGTCCATGGGGAGAAAACAATTTTTATAAACTTAAATAACTTCCTAACTGTGGTCGTAATTCTTTCACGCTGCTCATAAAGATTCTATTGTTATTTATAAGGGTTAGGATTCACGGTAAGAATGGTGTAATACCCACTTGATAATCAGTTATTTGCAACATAAACGACTCTTGAGAAGCTTCAGTAAAGAAAAAATCGTTTTGGTTAATAACAAAGAAAAATGAAAGCTGCAAGACTTGCACTTCATACAAATCTCTGACAGTGGCTTAATATTTTACTTTACACTATAATCATTGATCATAAAGCACGCGTGTAGTTAATAGGGCAAGTATGTGATTTCCGTAACCGAGACGTTTGTAATATCCGCAGCATATTACTTACATATTGAATAAATATCCCTACAGTTCATGTTAGATCAGTATCGATTTGCTATCTATTCACTGGAGTTTCTCCACTTGGAAATGAACCCAGAACTTCTTCGAAACGAGGGCGAAAGTGGAGGCTCCGTGCCGAGTGATGCACGCGCCAGCTCATGCAAGTGCATGATGTGCCTGCTAGAGCGATAGTTGCACATCAAATGCGAAAGACTTATCCGCGCGTGTTCTGTAGGTCTGGTGCTTTGCACTGCGTTGCTACCCGAGAGCCGCGCCACAGAAAAATTCGCTTTGACCCACCATTGTTCGCCATCCAAGGAGGGGAGGTGCAGCAGCGTGGGGCTAAACTGAATGAACCTGTACGAAAACTCCGCACTGTGTAATTAATTGTTTGCAAACGTAAAATTGATTTGTAGTAGAAATGGCCAATTTGTATGGCCAGAACTGAACTGTGTATTACAGCGTTTACAAGGTACATATGTTTTAATAATCTGTTTTTGTTATAAATATAAAATTTCGTTTAAAATATCCTCAAATGTAACATACCAAGCCATTGCTACCATCGAAGTCAATACTATTAATTATATAGATATACAACTTTAAATAATTTCCTTTTTGTAACAGAGATATTATAAAATTTGTTGCCCACTCTAATCTGTAATACACAAGAATTAAAAAATCACATGGTTCTGACGCTTTCTCGCTAATGGAAACTATCTAAAACAACAATAAGTTCTGCATTGAATGAATGTTAAAATACCTAGTATGATTCTGACCATTCGCATGACAATTTGTGAGGAAGGAAAGATTATTTGGAATTTGGAAAGGGTTAAAATTTTCTACCCAAAACAATCCCAGAGGAGAGATTATCAGTTTTGGCAATGGTGTCCACCGGCCGCGATCACACTATCCAAATATCAGTCAATGAAAGAGTCGATGTCAAGTTTACTGTGAGCAAGGAAAGGGGACAGATTTCATTTAGAAATATATGAGTAATCATCTACTTTATTTAAAATTATAAAAAATAATAACTGATATTGTGGGACTGGAAACGTCTCAGAGAAAAACTCAGCACGTGAAATATGTAAGTGGTTTTGAGGAAACCAAGTCGTAGTGCTTATTATAGTGCCACTATTTTATTAGTGTCCCGCAATCGTGGAAAATTCTGTTCGGTCGACGGCCCTCACTCGCCGGGGAACCGTGCGATGAAGTTCCTGGGACGGGAGGTTTTCAAGATCTCGCCCCGCAAAAGGCATGCTTTCCAGTCTGGTTGAATAGTCGGTTTGTGATGGCTCGCTCGACGTTCACTCTCAAACAGAAAGTGTTTGTGTATAACACATACGTAAAATGTATCAAACCGTTATATGCATCGTATCCTGTAGCCTTTCTTCCAAATGTTGACAAATGAAGAGCAAAATAACGGTCATTTTCAACAGACCGCAACCGCGCAACTTTGTTTCCTTACGGGTTTACTTGCCGTTTATGGAGACAGAATTATCACACGTGGTTTGTGGCCTGCACTCTCTCCTGATCTGACTCCGTGCGATTTCTTTCTTTGAAGATTCCTGAAAGATCGCATACGCGATAAATCCCCACACGGAAGAATAACGGCAAAATACCAATGAACAGATCCCTGCAATACTTCAGGACGTTCTTCATCAAGTGAACCAAAACTTGTGTAGATGTCAAGAATGCATCAGAACCAATCGTGAGTAGTTCCAGCATCTACTATAATGTGAGTACAATTTAAACTTTCCGATAGCGAAAAGCCACCTTCCTTCTTCTTAAATTCTACCGACCGCCCTTAGTCGACTTCCCCGGCATCCGAAGCCTCGTTGGCCGAGGCCAAATCCCCGCGCGACCGGCACGTTTTTTAAACGGTCGCACTGTATTATGCCAAACACAAAAATATATTTTCTGTGAAATACATTCTTCGAGAGTTTGCTTATCGCTCGATAAGAGTCATATTAGTTGCGCTGTCTTTCGCCAGCAAAAAATATAGCCAAAAGTGTGAAAATGGCTACTGGGGAACAGCATAAACGATCTGAGTTTCAGAATTTCATTCCACCAATTCTGTTGTTGTTCAGTAGTATATCTCATAGACCCTGGCCTAGCAACGATCTAGAAAATCAATAAAGAAGTGATATTCGAAATTTGAAAAATCGACATGCTTTTGCAAAGGAAATTGAACCGGCCATCGGTTTAGGACCGCGTTCGCGCAACCGACGCAAGGAATGCACAAAAGTTCACTTGCCGAGCAGGGCAGAGCCTTCTCCAAAAACTATGAGGAGTTTTCAAGGAAGTTTTTTATGAGAGGCTACAACATTCCATGAAAGAGAATGTGGCTGGTGTGAAGTCCGTGGTCATGTTTACACTATTACTATTACCGCAGCGGGCGTATCAGGCGAGGCGATACATTGCGTAGTACAAAACAAGTAGCGCATGTACAAAACAGCCAACGCTCTAATTGGCCACCCTTGCAACACAATGCACCTCCACCAACTGAACAAAGTGAGCCCAAAAGACACAAAAACTGATTCTGTTTCACGTTATGCTTTCCCTACTGAAAACAGGTTTGAAACCTTAAACAACAAAACGGAAGAATACGAACATATTAGTTCCGTGGAAACAGTGATTGAAATTCCTCCTACAGTCATACACAAAACGGAAAATTTTCAACTCATAATAAAAGACATTTAAAGTGTAGTTAAACAAGATTTCACAACCAAAATATAAGCAGACAAAGAGAAAGTTAAACTTAATTCAGTAGACGATTTCAGAGATCTTCGTAAATTTTGCAATGAGAACTGCATATTATATCACACGTTTTGTAATCCAAGCATAAAACTATTTTCAATTGTAGTTAAATATATTAACACTTTATATAGTGAATCATAAATCTCCCCAAAACTTGTGAATCCCAGTAATCAAAGTTACTCGCCTTCATGGAAAATACAGAAAACCATTAACAACTTATGCTGAGGAATTAGAAGACAATAACAAGGAAAGGAGTATACTGGCCTTAGATAGATTTTTACATAGTGTTGTTAGTGTGTTTCCTAGATTCAACAAAATTCACCAATTCAATGTAAAAACTGTCAAAAATTTGAACACACTGAAGCTAACTGTGGGCGCCCCCCAAGATGCGTTTGAGGTTTTTAGGTAACCACCACTATTCAAAATGCACGGAACCTAAAACGGAAACAATTCGAAAATTGGAAAGAACGTGAAATTTATCAGAAAGTGCTAAAAAATCAAGCAGAGCGGTATAACTAAAGACAACAGACATTTAATATTAGACATTTTCACGAGGGAAAAAGCTTTGACCAAAAACACGTCCCTTAAATTCATCTGCCACAGACAAACCCAACGCAAAGTCCTCCCAAAAATGCCTGGTTTTCAAATCCACGAAGACTTAATTTCCACGTTCTCCGGCAAAAACTTCAATCTCCCTCCAACCAAGGGCACTAAATAACAACAATGAATAAACGCACACACTCCACAAATTCAAATATTAATACAACCAGCCCTTGATAATGCACGTAAATAAAAATCCAGAAACAAGCATTCTCAACTGAAACGCGAGTGGAATAAAAAGGCAAGAAAATCAATTGCGATACTTTATAACGAGACACAACATAAAAGTATCTTGTATTTCAGAATCTCACCTGTTACCACAAATCAAGTTTTTCTTTAATATCTATCGCAACGACCGTCTCTCAGTGACGGCAGCAGGAGGAGTAGCCATATAAGTGCACAAAGTTATAAAACGTACGTTAATTAACAGTACTGTGAGAAGCAGTCAAGAAACTGCAGCAATAAACACCCAAATAAAGAACAAAGACACAAAGAAGCGGCATATAAAGCTAATAAATTGTTTTTGGAAACAACTATAATATCATGTTAATAGGCGACCTTAAGAGCGCAAACAGCGCGTGGGGATCCAACACAAGAACGCATGGAGGGAAAAATTTACTAAATATATCTACCACTCTCAATATTGAAGTATTCTCGCCCCAATAGAACCCACTCATTATCCTATATTAACAATAATATAATTCCGGACAAATTGGATATTCTCATCACATAAAATATTGATATCC